AGAAAGCCAACCTGAGGGGAGCCAAACTGAACCAAGCCAACCTTCGAGTCAATTAACTACAGAAGCACTTGAGGTCAAGAGACACATGAGACAAAAGAAACTGGCTGTCAGTGTTCTTCCTTTTTTATTTTATTTTAAATAGTAGCTTAACTGTCCTATATTTGATTATGTTTAATTATGGATAATTCAATCTTATTGTATGTTAAAAGGAGAGTGGTACAAGAAAGTCAGTCAACTCCAGCTCTAATGAGTTCAACCAAATGATGAGGAGAGGCAAGCTTGTGTACAATGCTAGTGGCCTTAAAACAACATGCACTGGACAAAAAAATGGAGCACCTGGAGATTAGAAGTAAGAAGCATCCATTGCATAGAAGATTGATTTTTTTTTTTTTTTTTTTATGTGGTAAAGAAAAAGGAAGCATCTACATGACTTTTGCATTGGGACTTTTTGTACATGTAATGATTTTTTGTTTGGAATGGTTGCCTTGAACTTGTTAACTATATAAAGATAGTATTTTGGTTGTCACAAACAATTGTGTGTTTTGAAAACTTGAATGAAAAATTTATGAATGTTGCTTTTGTGCATGATACTCTATTTTAATGGATGGTACTCCACATTTCTATGTAAATGTAGCTTGTGTTGGTTTTGGTTTCCATTAGATGGATGGATTCCAATTGTGTGTTTTGAATGAATGCCACTAATAGGTTTTTTGTTCATTGAATGAATGCCATTTGATGGATGGATGGATGCTAGTGATTGGTTTTTTATTCATTTGTTGCCATTTGATGAATGGATGCTAGTGATAGGTATTTTATTCATTGGTTGCCAATAGGCCATTCAAAGAGGCCACCAATTAGTTTTTTTGATGGATGGATAACAAATAGTTAAAGTAACACACAATGCCACTTTTGTTTGTATTTTTTATTTTTATTTTTTATTATATATATATATATATATATATTAAATGATAATGCCTTGTTTTTGTAAGGGTGAATACAAATTGTTTTTTAAGGGACAAACAAATGTTGTGATGTTTATGAGTAAAACCTTAACACAAAATCTAAAATTTTCATTCAAAATACTTCCCTCATTACATTTCATTCGTAATATTTCCCCCCATTACATTGATTCATTCATAATAGTCCCCCTTATTACATTCTTTCTTACACTACATTACAAACCACACTGATAAAATGATGCACCATGAGGCAGCCAAGCATATCCATAGTTTTCTCTCACTTCTATTCCTTGTCTGTAATCTTGCTTCTAGCTTATTGACCTTCTTCAACAGCCTAGGGATGATTTGTACTGGCCTTGAGCACATAGATGGGTCTACTTAGGTGAACTGATTACAACCATTAGTGAGACAACTGAGAAACCTCCTATTAGGATTTGCTTCAGTCTATGATGTTTGTATTAGCCTTCGTTTTCCACAGAAAATGCATCGTAGGTCTTCCATGTCACTTGAACTCCATCTTCCGTCAGTTGAGCTCGATCTTCCCTGATTTCTTGGCCCTTTATTCCCCATTCTCTCTCACTATCGAAAAGATGTTTTTTTTTTTTTTTTTTTTTTTGGGAACTTGCCTCTATTATATAGTAGAAGGGAGAGGTTGCATATGGTAGGAAACCCTCTTATATTCCTTCCAAAAGATAGTTCAGGGGGACAGCTCATCACATTCCGTCCAATTGTGGACAGAAGATGACGACAGGAGTCTAATTGATCAATTTGTGAAAAGTTCAGGTACTAAATTGAAATAAATCGAAGTACGGAGGTCAACGTGAAAAGCGCATGATAATTTGGAGGGGGAGAAATGATATTTCCTCCTCAGTTTTTTTCTACACTCTCTCGGCGACTCTTTATCTAGTGATCACTCTTCAATGCATTTTCTTGAACTCTCTCGGTAGGAGAAATCTTAGTCGTTGGTTCATCTATGACAATAAATTAGTTGTTGGTCCAACGTCAAGATTGTAAACTGGCTCGTAAGTGGTCTCTCTTCACCATGACCACCACACCCGCCATCGTCCAACATCAAGATAGTAAACTAGCTCTTAGTGGTTTGTCCTTACCATGACCACCACGTTTGCCATTAGGTTTGAATGAGACCCAGACTTATAATCTCCGAATCTACCCAGAATAATGATGTATGATTGAGATTGAATTTGTATAATGTGAGATCGATGTATAGAATAAATTTAAGCTATTAGATGATAATTCTAAGTAATTTCTACATAATTAAATCTGGATTTATAATAGTACTACTCAGGCCTCGTTTAGGAAGTAATAATTTTAGCCTAAAAGTCAAAAAGTTATTAAAAAACCAAAAAACCTATAACCTATACCAAAAAGACAGATTTTTTTTTTCTCTCTACTTTTTGTACAACTTTTAGTAAAAAAATCAAAAAATCATTCCAAATATACAAAAAAAAATTTATCTCATATTTTAGTTAAAAAACAAAAAAAATACTAAAATAGCCTATTAACAAACAGTCTCACCATAAACTATCACTTGCCGATCAAATTTTTTCTCCAAATCCATCTGAAGCGCCCAGGAACTTCAATTCAAATTTCGCTCCAGATCTCAAGTCAAATTCTACACCTTATAGGCCATGTTTGTTTGGGCGGACATGTACTTGGGATTGAACTAATAGTCTAATAAAATTATTAATCCGATGTTTAGTTAAAAAATTGAAGTACAAAGTAACAATTCATTCGGATATGGTGTCCTACATATGATGGACTATTCAATCCTACATAGGGGATGTAATATAAATTAGGAGACTAAGTCAAAATCTAGATTAACTTATCAAATGACCATAATAGAGGCATTATAGTCAATATATTGGATGTCCCATGTTCTCTCATGTCCCATCCATTTCAATTTCTGTACACAAACATCGAATTGGATAATATTTTGTTAATTCCTCCTTATAATCCTAACTCAATCTAAATATAGGATATGACACACAATCCAAAAGGATTCGTAGTCTTAGAACTATTAGTCATGAGAATGCTAATCTAACCTAATCCAGTCCGCCCAAACAAACATGGCTGTAGTGTATACCTGTCTGTCATCTATCTTTGTAGGACTTTGCACTTTGTTTGCCTAACCATAAAAATGAGTTACGCAAAAAATTAATTTTATTAAACATCACTAGGCATATCGATTAGTTTTTTAAAATAAACAACTATGAGTCTAAATTTAATTTATTTATTTTACAAATTAAAATATGATTTGTTCATTTACTCATTCATATCCAATAGGAGGAATTTTAAAATAGTAGGACAGACCAAAAAATATTACAAAAATATGTAAGATGCAACTAATTTTGTGATGGTGTATGATAGAAATAAGAGAGTGTAAGAAATCTCTTGTATATATTGTATCTGACAGTGTAAGAGGAGACTCCATTTATAGGAGCTATTGTTTACAACATCATTATGTTACATTACATAAAATATTAGAAAGTGGCCGAAAGCAGCCGAAAGTGAAGGCGTGCTTTGGCATCCCTCTGGCATCTAGCATCCTATATATAAATATAATATATTAGTATAGCTGTGTGTGTTAATATAATATATATATATACATATTAATATATGTTAACAGCCCCCCTCAAACTCAAGGAGGACAAACATAAACCAACTTGAGTTTGGAGAGAGTAACAAACAGTTTGGGTGGTTCGCATGGTCGTGTCATACCGTTGGAGAAGACACTGTGTAGTCGTGTCAGACCATTGTAGAAGCTAACCGGAATCAATGTCGGGACAGTTTACGGGGTCATGCTGGACCGTTGTAGAAGTTGACCGGAATCAATGTCGAGACAGTTTACGGGGTCATGCCGGACCGGTGTAGCAGGACAGTTTACGGGGTCATGTCGGACCGTTGTAGAAGCTGACCGGAATCAATGTCGGGACAGTTTATGGGGTCATGTCGGACCGATGTTGCAGATTGTGGTGATGCACCAAGGGGGCGACTTAGGGAGTGCGCCATGAGGTGGCTTGAGTGGTTCCCATGGTGTATAACCATGCTCACCAGCTTGGGTGGTTCGCACGGTGTGTAACCATGCTCACCATGATATATGTATAACCCCCCCTCAAACTCAAATAGGGGTGAAGATAGAAACCTATGTGAGGTTGAAACAAAGGGAGTGAAGAAGTGGAGTAAAACAGCTCAACACAGAGTGAAGATGGTGAAAAAAAAAAAAAAAAAAAAAATAATTATAAAAAAAGGGTT